ATCTGGAAAGAAAGTTCTTTGAGTGAGCAAATGAACGGTGGTCGCAAAAGAAACTGAGACAGACCTTGATTGACACCAACGACTTCCCAGTTTGAAAGGATGCCGAGGTAATCTTTACGTATGCTTCGAATGTCACAGCCGATAAGAAGAGGCGCCTGGAGAAAAACCAAACAAAGTTCCTTAGAGCGTTTGCCTTTTCTTTTCTTCTTGGTACCTTCATAATGGCCCACAAGCTGAAATGTGTACGATATTCTTCCACCGACATTCCACCGTTTCCAACCTCTAGCATGTCCGGATCTGGAGGATGAAAGAAAAAAAACACCAAAGTTGCCAGCGTTACGCAACGAAATCCGGTGAACTCGTATGAAACTGATTGATACCGTTCCAGTGTCCCGGTCCCGCATACGATGCCCACTGGTTGTTCAGATCCGCTCGCGAGACCATCCTGCACAGACAACACTCATCTAAGAGCCTTGAGCATTAAAACTCACACAATGGGCTAGTACGAGTTCCAGTTATCCGCAATGTCGCCCGTAGTCCTCCAGCTATTTCCAACGTTGGAAGCCCAAGTCGCGGGATTATCCTGGCCCCTGCAACCAATCACACGAATGTGAGCGACATATCCCCTGGAGTTATAGCAACTTACCACTCGCACAGCGAGTAGAAGATAGGACGGCCTGTCTTGACCAATGCATCGTGCATGACATGGTATCTGTCGATCGGGACAAACAAACGAATTAGAGGCAACCGAAACGGAAATTTGAACTTTACCTGGTTCTGGGACTCACACCATTGTTTCCGCAATTGTCATACTTCAAGTAATCAACGCCCTGGAAAAAAAAAAGTTCGATCAAACAAAGGCAAAGAAGAATTTCTACTCGACTCACCCAGCTCGCAAATGTGGCGGCATCTTGGTACTCTCGTCCCAACGATCCAGGCTGCTGCTTGCTACATGTCTGGTAGCTGCATGGAATGGACCAAACTTACATTCTCCACGATTGAAAGAAAAGAAGTGTACTAACCCGGCGTCCGAGTAAATTCCAAGCTTCAGCCCTCTGCTATGGACGTAATCCGCCAGCGCCTTAATTCCGGATGGGAATGCCGAGCTCTTCGCTCTCAGGTTCCCCTGCGGGAGAAAAAGATTTCAAGATCACGGTCAATCGCCTTTAGCAATATGAAATGCTGGAAACAAGACAAATCACGGGGATCTTGCGAGACACTGAGATGAGAAGGATTGATCTGAGCAGAATTGAGATCTACCTGCCAGTCTCTAGACGAATCAGCCCAGCAGTCGTCCAGATTGATGTATCTGTAGCCAAGCCTGCTCAATCCACTTGAAACCATCGCATCAGCTGTACGAGAGAAAAGCACTTATAATAAGTTCCATCGAGAACAGGGAGGGGGCATATTCTCTCCATGTCCAGGCAAGAACAGGATATTCCTCACCCGTTTGTCTGATGAGCTGCTCATTGATGCCACATGCGAAGTGATTCCAGCTGTTCCATCTGCGCGGCGAACATCAGACCTCAATGCGCGTGATTAGATCGCTCGGCGATTCGATATTTCGCGAGAAATTGGACGAAATATCGGGAAAACATCGATCTTGATCGATCCATCTTACCCCATCGGCGGGCTCCGCCCCAGTCCATCCGTCGCCTTGGCATGTCGGAAGGGATTCCTGTGGATTCTGGCCCGGATCACGCCTCCGCGCGTGAGATTCGTCCCCGCAAGATCATCGCCATTGGAGGACAATGCCCAGGGTGCATTGGAGGAGAAGACGAAGAACAAGATCGAGAGGGAAATGGAGAAGGAGAGAAGCGGCGAATCCTTCTTCTTCATCCTCTCCACCCCTCTCTCTCCTAGCCACGAATGAGAAGCCAGGAACACATTTAAAAAGGAGGAAAAAGTTACCACATGGTAGCTATTTACCTTTTACTGCCAGCATAAAGATCAAAAGCAACTCTTCTTTATTCGTCTTTTGGAAGGAGGTTTTATTCGCTGTTCTTCCATTCGAAACTTCTCTCTCAGGAGATTTTATCTCCCATTTCTTAAAAAAATCTGTTTTTTCTTCTTTTTTTGTAGCGTCCGTGACTGTGTTTGATCGATCATACCTGGCTTTGCTCGTATCAATGCCTTTTCTCACGACGTTGGCGTCAGTATAAACATCTTGCAGCCGTGCGAAGGAACGGACGCTTGAATGCTTCCGGTGTACACAACTGGCAAGTCCTTGTGCTGCAAACAAGCAAACACTTCAAACAAAGCCTCTGAATTGATTGGAAGCTCTTACCTGCCATAGATCTCTTCCAGTGGCTTTCGTTCCCGACTTCAAGCCAATCTCGTCCCAGTTGGCTGTGATACTCCATGTCATGAAGCTCCTGTTCACCATTAAGATCACGACCCGACCGCCCGAGAGAGGCCCGGCCCAGACCTGTGTAGATTAGATCTAGATGCGTCAGCGACAAAGACAAAACACAAGAGAAAAGCGAGAAATTGCTGTAAAGTTACTTACATCTAGAGACGACGACGAGCTAACTTTCTTGCCCTGTACACCCAACGAGTCTGGAAAGCGATCAAAGCGATCAAATTGGTAAAGTGACTCGCAACGAACGGCAGGTAAGACAAACAATACGGAAATACCAAATACCTTGGTTTACATTGATGACTTCCCAGTTCGAGAGTATGGAAAGGTAATCGCTTCCAATACTTGTTACGTCACAGCCGATCAGTAGAGGTGCCTGTTGGGACATGGTATGGGATGGTATACTGTCAATATTTTCAGCGTGAATGAAAGCGACTGAAAGCCATACCTTCATTATAGCCCACAAGCTGAAGTGTGTCCGGTATTCGTCCACGCTCATTCCGCCGTTTCCAACCTCAAGCATATCAGGATCTGATTTTGCGATTATAACACAAGTAAATTGCGTGAAAACTCTGGGAAGACGAAAAGTTACCATTCCAGTGCCCCGGTCCAGCATAACTTGCCCACTGATTGTTTTCGTCCGCCCGAGACATCATCCTACAGACAAACGTCAGCCTTACTGTTCGATAAATGTATCAAGATTTCTTTTACGTGCTCCAGTCGTCACTTATATCCCCTGTTGTCCGCCAACTGTTCCCAACATCGGCAGCCCAGGTCGCAGGATTTTCCTGACCCCTGGAAAACCATAGTCAAAGTAAGAAGCTGATAAGTCTTCTCGACTAAAGAAATAAAAAAAAAGGACAAGTGGTGGAAGACAGAAAGATTGATGAATTTACCACTCACAGAGTGAATAAAAAATACTCCGACCGGATTTGGCCAGTGCGTCTCGCATGACTGGGTACCTAACAAGCGCACCAACAAGAAGAAAAAAGAAAACAAATGAGTCGCCCGACATTGATTAAATCTGGAGAGTGCTCCTTACCGAGCTTTAGGACTAGTTCCATCGTTCTCACAATTGTCGTATTTGAGATAATCAACACCCTATAGAAGAAGAAAAAAAAGAAAGAAGCCCGGTTAGAATCAAAGAATCTATTAATCTACTCCTAGACTCCTATAATCTCCAGAAGCAAGAAGACCCTCCAAATGCTTGAAACCCCGATCGATCCAAGCAGCGAGCGATCGATCCAAGACCTGCCATAGCCCCGATCGAAAGAATATCGATCATAATCCCAGAATTTCTCGCAAGAACCCTCCTAATCCAAGAAATCCCAGTAAAAATCGAGGCGCTTACCCAGCTCGCAAATGTGGACGCGTCCTGGGCCTCCCGGCCCAGCGATCCCGGCTGTTGCTTGCTACACGTCTGGTAGCTGCGGCAATCAAACGCGGCGACGACGAAAGAGACGTTAGAACCCTAGCGCGATGGCGACGCATCAGCAAACAAAGCTACAAGCACCGACCCGGCATCTGAGTATATTCCCAGCTTGAGTCCCTTGGCGTGGACATAGTCGGCCAGCGCCTTGATGCCCGATGGAAAAGTGGAGCTCTTCCCGCGCAAATTACCCTGTTAAATTAAACACGTGATTAGTTAGCACTAATGGAATGACTATCATCTTTTTCTTCAACCTGTCCATCTCGTGTTGACTCGGCCCAGCAATCGTCCAGATTGATGTGAACGTAGCCAAGTTTCGCCAATCCACTGGAGACTATGGCATCGGCTATATGCAAAGTCATTAGAAGAATGAGAATTTTTCCCTTCTTTGGACGATTTTCTCTTTGTTTACCAGTTTTCTGGATGAGACCTTCGTTGATTCCACAACCGAAATGGTTCCAGCTATTCCACCTTTGATGTTTTCCCGAAAGAGAAAGAGATGATCACGTAGATGCGAGAAAGATTCTTAGCAACTATGGTTTTGTATACGTACCCCATGGGAGGCGTTCCTCCAAGTCCATTTCCAACTTTCTTGTGCCTTCTCTTTCTCAGCGAGGCTGTGAGCGTGGAATTCAACTCCGCCGACCAAACCAGAGGAGCAAACACGAGCATCGCCAGGAGCAGAACGATCAACGCCGGCTTCATCGTGAATTCGAGAAGGAAAACTCTGCAAACTCTCGGCTTGGAATGGATTGATCAAGGAGGAGGAATTCACTCCAATTGAGTGATCCTAGGCCATGGATCCCCAATATATGCGAAGGCCAAGGAAAGAGAGAAAGGGAGAGGAGGATGAGATAGTACTGGGACCTCTCTCGCTATGCACACGTCTTTAAGTAATCCTGTACAAGACACACACACATCACACACCCAAAGAGTGCTTTGCTCATCTTGTCAACGACAAATACGAGCATCACTTTCGTAGATTTTAGTTTCTCGTAACCACATCTCTACCAAAAAAGACCCGAAAGTGAAAGAACATCTCCTCCCTCCAACTTTGACAATTGGACAGGCCAACGATTTCTTCTTCTTTTGCTTTCTCTAATAAGCTATGTTCACTGTGTAAATGGCAAGCTTTCATCAGCACAATGTAATGAATGATAAGACCCCGGAGCTTGCAATATTCCATCCACCAGAAGTATTTTCTCGGGCCTACACACCAAAAACCTTAGTAAAACCTTTACATCAGCTAAAGCTTTGTAACAGGGGTGATATCAACATTACACTCAATTCTTTCGACCTTCTACTAGTATAAAGTGGTAGCCATGCCTGAGAAAACAAAGAGAAAAGAAAAAACAAAAGTGCGAACTTTAGTGTCAAGAAAGATCTAGAAGGAGAAAATCTCACGTTGATTTGAAAGGAGCACTGGTTGATCCGACGGGCGTAGAAAACGCGACTTCCTGAAAGGGGCCGGCCATTTTCCCGCGAGGAAACCATCCCAAATCCCCGCCTTTCTTTCCAGACGGGCACTCAGAGAACTCGGCAGCGACCTGGAGGCAAAGCATTGACACTCAAACATCAGACGTCACAGCGAGGAATGAGCGAGGTCGCGAAACACGGCTTACTTTTGCGAACTCCGCCGGTGGGACTTTGTCGCCGTTGTTTATCCATCCGTCCTGGAGCTTCTTGTAGGCGTCGTTGATCCGTCCCTGTTTCTCGCAGAGAACATGCCTGGCTGCAAGGGATTGAGCAGTAAAAAGCCATTAGTAAACAAAACAGCTACAAGCAATCGCACAATCGGAGAAGGCAAAAGCTAAAGTTTAGTCAAGGATCATCATCGAAGAAAAGAGTTTTGCACAATGGGAGAAGGCAAAAGCTAAAGTTTAGTCAAGGATCATCATCGAAGAAAAGAGTTTTGCACAATGGGAGAAGGCAAAAGCTAAAGTTTAGTCAAGGATCATCATCGAAGAAAAGAGTTTTGCACAATCGGAGAAGGCAAAAGCTAAAGTTTAGTCAAGGATCATAATCGAAGAAAAGAGTTTTGCACAATCGGGGAAGGCAAAAGCTGAAATTAGTCAAAGATCATCATCGAAGAAAAGAATGTAGAGTAAACACAATGTCGAAAAACCAAGAAAAAAGATAAATTTTCCGCGTATGAAGTGGTGATTACTGAGAAAACCAGCAATGCGGGTCCTTTACACACTGGACTTATACTCGTGAATGGCTACAAAGATCAATGAGCGAAATCTAGACACTAAAACCTCCTAGAGGATGCATAAAATTAGAGGTAAAATTCTTACCTTTGACATACGTGCACGTCCCGAGCTCATCCTTGCCGCTGCCACCGCCGCCTTTCGATTTGCCCTTGGACGGCGCCTCAGCTGCCGATCCACCTCCACTTTGCTTGGATTTGCCCTTGGCGCTCTCCTTGGCCTTCGAATCCTTGCCCATTCAACCTAGACCTAAAATGCAAGTACACACTTTTGGTCCTTTAGGGAATTAGGGTACGGAAACTGGCCATTCCTTTTGGGCCAGACAAATATCTCCCGCAAAAAAGCGAGGATAGGGTTTAGGGTTTATAACTTGGGGCCCTAAAATGTCGAGCGCCTGGAGAATGGCTTCTCTCATGAATGTGGATCTCTCGAAGGGCATTCTCGGCGCCAAGAGCTCCAGCGCCGCGGGACTCCGGGTACTGCGCAAGCGCTCCACAGCGATTCGCAGGCGCAGCAACAGCACAGTGGCGTGCCCGGCGCTCAAGATCGTCAACAGCGCCAGCGCGGTCCTCATCCCTCCTGTCAAGACCCCGGGCTCGATCAATCTCCTCAACGGGCAGCACCAGCCGCGGATTTTCCCGCAAGAGGGCGGCGGCGAGGAGGAGAATCTCGGCAGGCAGCTCGAGGGCTATCTCAATTCCCCAAACGATGTGGGCCTCCTGGCTCGGGCGCTGGACGAGCAGCACGGTGAGTACTTCGTGGCAATGGATGCGATCGACAGGATGAGGCGCGAGGGCGGCGCCTCTCCAGAGCTGGATCTGGCGGTGAGGAACGCGGTGGTGGCCTTGTACGCTAAGTTCGGCAGCCTGGCCGACGCTTGCAAGGCGTTTGAGAGGATCCAGCAGCCCAATGTGGAGAGCTGGAACGCGCTGCTCATTGTCTACTGCCGCCTGGGGACTTGCAACAACATCGCCCAGATCGTGGATCGGATGCGCAGCATCGGGGTCTGGCCAAACGAGCGGACCTTCCTCACAATCTTCGAGCGAGTGCGGCACATCGAGGATGGCAAGCGGCTGGCCGAGAAAGTCAAGGAGCAGCAAGGCCTGGATCTCAGCATCGTCGGGGCGGCGCTGGTGACCATGTTTTGCCGCTTCTCCAGCGTCTCGGATGCCCGGGACGCGTTTGACAAGATACCCGAGAAGGGCATCCCGGCCTACACGGCGATGATGGCCGGGTACGTGAACGAGAAGAAGCCCAAGGAGGCGATCGAGCTCTACCACGCTCTCCAGCAGAGCAACTTGCCAGTGACCAACACCGTGCTCGCCATCGTGCTTGGAGCGTGCTCAAACCTGGTGGACAGTGACGAGGGCCGCGCGGCTCACTACACCGCCATCGAGCTCGGCCTCCAGGACGATCCCGTCGTCCAGAACGCGGTGGCGACGATGTACGCCAAGTGTGGAGGACTGGAGGAGGCCCGGGCGGTTTTTGACGCCATGGAGATCCGGAACGTAGACGCGCTCACCTGGTCCTCGCTCATCGGGGTCTACGGCTCGCAAGGCAAGACTGACGAATCGCTCCGGCTGGCGCGGAGGATGCAGCACGAAGGGATGATCCTGGACGGGAACTGCTTCGCCAACTTGATCTTCAGCTGCGCGAATGGCCGCCGGGACGCCGAGGCGTGCCGGTTCTTCATGGACATGAGGAGCGACTATGGGGTCGTTCCCGGCAAGGAGCACTTTGGGTGCTTGGTGGACGCGGTCGGGCGGGCCGGGCATCTCAAAGACGCGGAGGATCTGATCAAGGCCATGCCGATGCAGCCGGACGAGCACGTATGGAGCGTGCTGTTCGCGAGCGCGCAGCTGCACGGCGACGCGCAGAGGATCCAGCGCTCGGCGGAGATCATGATGAAGATGAATCCTCAGCTGGATCCGCTGGGAACCGGCGCGAACAGGACTGCCGCTCGGTGGGAGGAGGCCAGGAAAGTGCGAGAGCTCATGAGGAAGCGCGGGATCAAGAAGGAGCCCGGGAAGAGCATGATCACGATCAACAATGTGGTGCACAGCTTCATGGCGCGCGATCGGTCGCACATCCACACGAAGGAGATCTACGCCGAGGTGGACAGGATCACGGAGATTTGCAAGAAAGAGGAGAACTACATCCCCGACACGAGATACGTTCTCCATGACGTTCCTGAGGACCAGAAGCCCAAGCTACTGTACTATCACAGCGAGAGATTGGCTATGGCGTATGGGCACATCGCGACGCCGCCGGGATCGGCCCTGCGGGTGATCAAGAACTTGAGAGTTTGTGGGGATTGTCACACCATCTCCAAGATGTGGGCCAAGATCATGCAGCGGGAGATTATCGTGCGAGACAATCGGAGGTTTCACCACTTTGCGAAAGATGGTACGTGTTCTTGTGGAGATTACTGGTAAATTAGCTACAAGGGCTTTTTCTTGTTGGCCTTGGAAATGGACGGATTGTCACACCCAATTCTTAGAAAAATGGCTAAAGTAAAGATTTATTATAGTTTTGTTGTGTTTTAAAAGGTTGATTTGAGTGTATTACTAATAGCATAAATATTTATAATACTTTTTTAAAAGAAACATTTAATATTTTTTGACATTTCTAAATTTTTTATACATTATTTTCTTTTTACTACTTGAGTGGCACTTTCCAAATGCAATGTAAATGCTAGATTAGAATCAACAATATTATAGTTTAACTGCCATTGGGTGTCAATATAAATTACGCATGAACACTTCCACATCCAACCCTTTCACAAATATTTTTTATTTAAATGAAGTTTTCAAAAATTCTACAAATATTCTTAGCTTTCAGCAATAGCTTGATTCACATTAAAACATTACAAATGTTACTTAAATAATTTTTATAATTTACCTGACAGTGCACTGGACATTTACAACAAATGTCCCATATTAATTATTAGGTGAACTATTAGAGATTTTATAATGGAATTCATTTTATATATATATATATATATATATATATATATATATATATATATATATATATATATATATATATATATATATATATATATATATATATATATATATATATATATATATATATATATATATATATATATATATATATATATATATATATAAAGAGACAGACAGAGAGGGATATACATAGAAAAAAAAAAAAAAAAAAAATATAGTGATATTTTGTGTGTCAGTGTCTGACGCCGAGACTCAGATAATGAGAGATAGATATATATCATACATATATATATATATATATATATATATAGATGTGTGCGTGTGTGTGTGTGTGTGTGTGTGTGTGTGTGAGAGAGAGAGAGAGAGAGTGAGAGAGAGAGAGTGAGTGACAGACAGTGACTCAGAGAGAGAGAGAGAGAGAGAGAGAGCGAGAGAGCGCGCGCGCGAGACAGAGCGAGAGAGAGAGAGAGGAGGAGTATGAGTATGGTTAAAAATACCACCCCCCTTGTGCCCACCCTGCTTCTAGGTATAAATTATAGATGTC